ATAGGTTTGCTATCATGTGAGCAGGGTGGACTGGATGGACCATTGGTATGATCTAGCACACCTTATATTTTCAGGAACATTTTCTACCACGTGAATGAGTGACAGCAGTCTGGTCTACATTGGACTTTGACATCTTGGGGATGAACTTGAAGGAATCCAGTTAAACTATTTAATATTGCTCTGGTTTGCAGATAACATTAAGTCCAGGTTTAGTGTTTTGTGCATGAATCTGAGAGCCTAAGAAAAGCTGTATATCTTAAATTGCTGATGTATAAGCAGTCCCAAAATTACGAATGAATTCCATTCCTGAGAATGTCTTTGAGTCAAATTTGTATGTGTCAGATCATGTATGTATGAGTCATATTTAAGCATGTGTGAGCCAGATGTTTGTCTTAGTATATGTATATGTTACTTTTCTATGCATATAGAACACTTAAACACTTCCATATATGGTCAGCTCTACACATTCATAAGGGTTAGGGGCACAGGACCCCTGCGAAAGTGGAACAACTGCAAATATCTCTAGTCCCCTCCTCCAAACCTTAACTCTCAATATTGTTGACCCTACATGTACTGAATTGCTTCTCCTTCTCTCTCTCAGACCTTGGTCTGATCCAGCATGGCACCTCTTCTTCATGTATTACATTCTTATGCCCCTCCCTCTCTTTCACGCACTGTTTGCACCAAGGAAATGCTGGACGGATTTCCCTCTTTGGATTGGTGGAGCAAGAAGGCCAGCTTTGGAGGCCTCCCTACCTCCCCTTTCATGGTCTCTCTCTATGGTGGTGATGATTTTCCAGAGTAGGCCATGGAAACTGGTTTGTGTCCATTGCTACAAACCGTTTGTCCTTACTCAAAATTTTAAATAATAGGCTTTATGGCTATGGAAGTTCATTCATAAGTGCATATATTCATAACTCAGATGTTCATAGCGAAGGGACTGCCTGTATCTTCCAGCAATGTTCACTCCTGCTTCCTTTGATCTTAATCCATCTTTTTGGATTATATATTCTGGAGCTGATAGTTCTGACAACTGAAATCCCATAGATTCACATAGATGATTTGTGAATCATCCATGGTGAGATCTGCATGTGTTGTTTTCCTGGATTCCACATGAATAGCAAATCTGATTTTCAAAGCTTGCTGTTTGTGTGGAGAGTGTGAGAACAGTACATGCACTGAGTGCTTCATAAACACATTCATGTCATCAGCGTGGCTTTTCTGCCCACAGTTCTTGGTTATTATAGCATTTCCAATACAAATAGTCTCAACACCTTCTATGTTGCTCACAGCACTGTGGTCAGTTCAGGACATCATAAGAAAAATATGGATGGGCACTGATATAGAATCCGTCACTCTACACACTTCTAGGATCAGTCATGCAAACACACACTGTAGTCATATTTGCTTCTCAGGGGGTTTACATTTTAAAATTCTTTTAAAATGTGATGTAACAAAAAGCTGAAATGTTTTTTTTAAAGTAAAGCATGAAATACTTGAGATGAACAAAATATTGTGCATATTACAAATACCAAGAAAAAGAGGTTCACTGAAGTGTTTAAGCTGCAGAGGTTGTCATGCAGTTCTCTGGACTTTGCCTGAGGTGTGAAATTGTACCAGGCCATTCAGTTCATTGCTAAGATCAACTGGCACTGAAAGCAATATAGAACTTAATCTGTTCTCCTTCCTAAACCCTGAAGGAAGTGCTTTAAAATGAAATTCTGTTCTTCTGACCTGATTACAATGCAGTTCACATATGTTTATGTACATGCGTGCAGCGTTGTTTCTTTTGTCTTCTCATAAGGGTCACATTTTTCAGTATGTGACCTTTCTGTTGCTTAAGTGCAGGAATTAAAAAAGGTACTTGAAAACATAATCTCTGTCTGTTTTCTTCATATAAATATAACATGCGTAAAATGCAAACCCTTCTGTGTGTCTGTTTATAAGGCCTGAAGTTACTTTTGTTTTGTTTCAGCCAAATGGCCGAAAGTCTGCCAGCAGTATGTCTGGAATGTTATTTACTTGGTACATTTCTGGGCTATGTCTTTGTAGTACTGCATACACCACAGTTAGGGGTCATTTACTTAAATATGACCAAGGCAGTACCCCCAAGTTGCACAGTTATTCTTCTCAACAGGGGTTTTGTAATAAAAGGGAGTGTCTCATTATGTACTATAGCTTCTGTGCTTTTTTCCCCCTTCATGCCTTTTTTGTTCTCAATAATTTGAGTTGGGTGGAGGCTTGGGTTAGGAGCTGTTTGTTCTTGCTCTTTGTTCTCTAACTTAGTTTCAATGTGTCTTGCGGTGTGTTTTGTGATATTAGCTGATTTAACTTCATCTGACCTGTCTTTCTGAATTTTTGTATGTGTGTTTTAGTGGAAACCACCGTTTTAAAAACACAGCTCTGCAGGCAGATCCAGACAGATAAACTTGTTTCAAGGAGAGTGTGGGTGTTCATAGGTTTTTGAGGGAGAGGTTTGGTTGTCTAATAGAGGCTCTTTGGGACATGGATTAGTACATCATGGAAATGTCTTAAGGCCATATCTGAACTTCTTCAACATGGCAAGAAGATTTCTACCTCTCTAGAAATGTATAGCATGAGATATGCTATGCCCTTCTAGCCATAGGGCTCTTGACCTGTGTGTTACCAATATAGAGGAAAGTTAGGTGGCAGCTTTGTAAAACACAACCAGGTAAGCAATAGGTTAGTTGACGTATTTCTCCAGTAGTCATGGCCTGAGCAAGACTACTTATATTGTTATCTCATGTAATTCCACTCAGTAAGAGACAGTCAAGTATTCTGTGACATAGTCACTTCCTGTGGCTAAATGACATAATTATAGGGCACATGGCTTCCATGATAATAAACACAGTGCATGTTCTCAGCACTGTGGCTGCCAGATGTCTTCAGGTGTATTGAGGAAACTGGCACTCATTCTGCCTGGCTATTCTGTTTCTGTGTCTTCTTTCTTAGTGGATAGAAGACACTGAAAAATATTTTGGGGTGGGAATCAAATCTACTGAAGTTGAAGATGGCACGCGTGAGCCAATTTCATGCTCACAAAAACCTTATGAGTTATAGTAGTTGGCAGGGGGAGGCAAAAGACAAAGAGATTCTTGTCCTGCTCAGTAAGCTTAATTGCTGTGAAGTTATTTGAATCAAAATCTTCCTGTTCCTAGTCAATCTTATTTTCCAGACTTTGCTTCCAAGGCAATACAATTTCTCAATAAAGGCAATATTAAAGAATCAACAATTAAAAATGAAAACGAAATCCATGTATCAGTATATGTATCAGTAGCAGCAAAGCAGCATCCTTCTATTTTCCTGGAAAACTTGTCAACATAATTTTGACAACCTTCATAGTTCTTGATACTTACATTCTTGTGGTCCCTAAGGGTTACTGCCCTACTCCACCAGATATGGGTTAACTTATGGAATTTGGCATTGATAGTTATTTTAGTGGTGCAAGTATATAATATTAGATCCTGGACTTAATGGCTTTACAGTGGCTCCACCTTTAGATGGCCATGTGCATTACTTCAATTGTGAAACGCATAAGTAACTCCATAGTGCAGTCTTTCCTAAAGTGACAGTGCTATGATCTCAATAGGTTAAGAAATGCAGCTGTTGCAAAATGAGATTGTGAAGGGTGAGCAGGATAACCCCCCCCCCCTCCACTGCCACCTTACCAAGCTCCCAGACAGTCACACTTGGCCTCACCAATGTTTTCTAGATGCAGCCAGGCTCCCAGGCCAGCACAACGGACAAGGATGGAGCAGCTGTGGGGAGTGACACCTCAAGCCAATGATGTCACTTACAGCTTGCCCATCAGCCAAACTGAGCAGCACCAGATGTGGGGCAGTGATAAGGAGAAGCTAGGGGGAAATGGGAAGAATAGAAGGAAGGCAGTAGAGAAAGGAGAGGGGCGGAGGGCAGAGAAAGAATACTCAGAAGAACCAGCAATGGTGGAGGAAAACCAGGATGGAGAGAAAGGCAGGCAAGTAAGGGGGCAGAGGAGGATGGGATGTGGGAGAGACCTGGAGCCAGAATGCATACTGTTGAAGCTACTATTGCCTGAGATGAGGAGTCGAGTTTCAGGCTGTTTAAGGATCCTCTGTACCCTGACTTTGCTTGCTTCCTTTATCATAGCTTGTCTGGTTTTCCTGAAAGAGCAGTATTTGTATATTTTACCTTGGGAAGGAGTATGTGGGTTGAACCTAGAAGAGGCTTCATTTTAGAGTTATATGATGCATCTTTTTCTTGCAGCTGTACCTGCAGCTTTCCTATTCTCATCTCCCTTTTGGTTTTCCTGCAGTGACCAGTTATCTCCACTCCTAGCTCTGCAGCTTTGTTAAATTCATGCTCACAGAACATGCAGACTTATTCCTTCATGTAGTGTCTCACACACATATAAGATCCCACTCATTTACAAATGTGTTTTATCATTCACAGCCATTTCCTTAATACCACTGCCTATTTCAGATTCACTGAGGTCTTGCTTTCTTCCTCTTTTTGTCCTGACAGCTTACATTTTTCAACATTTATAATATTCCCTTTTGAATAGATGCTTTTCTCCTTGTCTTTTTGTTTTTCTTTGTTGCTTTGATCATTTAGTCAGAAATACCTCTACTCCATATTCACACCTACCCTTCTTTTATTATCTTGGCTTAAGCATAAATGCTTTCATTGAAATAAATCAGCCTTGTAATTTGAAAAATATAAAACTTTGGTTTAAGTTACTTATTACAGGTAATAGCCGTTTGATGGTTGAATATGAAACAAATGCTTGGCAGAATATTTAGTTTGAATCCTTGCCAGAAAACAATAAAGTGCAACCTAATTCCTAAAAATGTCTGAGCTATAAACTAACTGTCATGACATAGCATGCATAGAGTAATAACAGGCTGACAAGGCTAATAAAGTCTACATATTGCTATAGCCAGGCAGTGCATGCCAGAACAGGTCTATAATGTATTTTGTCCTTCATTCATGTTATGCAGCCCACACATCATCTTCCTGTCACAGAGCGCGTTATTAGGAGGAAGCCACCTCTGTGGAGCACGCCTGTGCCATGAAATTGCTCACGCCTGGTTTGGCTTGGCCATTGGTGCACGTGACTGGACTGAAGAATGGCTCAGTGAAGGATTCGCCACTCACCTAGAAGATGCGTTTTGGTCAGCAGCTCAGCAGGTACTGCCAGAACAATCTCTTTCATAATGGCAAAATAAGGACATGTTTTTGTCAATGCACTGTACAATAAGAGGAAATGCCATAGTAACACACAAGAAGACACAAGACACAAGAACTGTTATGCTGGTTCAGACTTTTGCTAGTCCCACATTCTGTCACTGGACAAGTAGCTGGATCTGCATGTCACCTTAAGCCTGGCATGGGCAGAAGGTAGATCCGAGTCTACTGGTTTTCTGACTCTTAATTTTTTAACAATAGTTGCAACGACTAATTTTAACAGTGGTTGACTTCCCCCTTTGCCCTAAGTTATACAGCTGAAATGAAGGAAGCTTGAGGTAGGCAAGAATGGATTTGTGTGTGGAAGAATCATTAGCACAAGTTAGTTCTGGTACACAAAATGAATCCTTGGACATGGATTTTGTTAAAATTCTATGTCTCTTGTACCTGGTTTTGTTGGGTGGATCTTGGGGTACTAATAAAAGAAAAATGCAGAGTAGTTGCTGCAAGCAAAGTCTCTCCAGCTTTGCTTGTGGCAACAAATCAGAATATGAATGAGAGTGTGTTGGTACATGCAGCCTATTTATTCCTACTTCAAGAAGGGAAAAGAGGTGTGTGTGATATCCAGACCCAGGATTAGGGTTTATTTTGCCTGAACAAGACAAGTTCATAAATAATCTTTAAACCAGAGTTTGTTGGTTGATCAATCCTGGCTTGTTTAGCTACAGTAAATGAGAATATTGGGTTCAGATATCACACAAAGCTCTCTCTTTCCTGGTTTATCTGCTTCTTTGAAAAGAATTTTTAAATTTCTACTCCTCCCCCAAGAGCCCAGTGAGTTATGAGACAGTATAAAAATGTACTAAAGTGTAATAAATAAGGTCAAAGAAGGTCAAAATAGAAATGAACAGGCAGTGTATTTCATCTGCATATTTCACATTACCATTCTGGTTTATCAAGTCATAATTCATGACCTAAAATAACATGAGAACATAGTGATTGCTTGGCAGATACCCCAAGGGATCTCACTAATAGGGCAAGTTTGTTTGTCCCCAGATACTAGTAAAAAGAGAGATACTGGGCTGGTTCATGTTTAAGCCACAGTTTTTACATTTATTTAAACCATGATGGGTTGTGCTGCTAGCAGCTGGTCATTTTGAACATTCAATTCCTGATGGGAGGTTGTCATGTTTGTTGTGTTATCTGCTCTTTGTTGGCAGGGGTTTATTTGTGAGTTTTTTGAGTCCATGGGTTACTTGAGGGTTATTTGAACCTGAAACAACTCCTTCCACCCAGGTTTCGATGAGACAACAAGCTGTGGTGAGGGCTTGAGTAGGCAGCTTGATGCCCATGGACACTGCAGCTCCTTATAGCTTAAACAACCTGTGGTGGACTGTGGTAATTGTGTGAACCAGGTCAAAGCCTCTGACAGTGAGGCTTCTGTATTTATCATGCCATTGGCTATGAAGTTGCACTTGATAAATTTTCATGTATGGAAAAATACCTAAAATAATTTGCAACACTATCAGATGTATTTGTTCTTCCTTTTTATTTATTACTGTTTGTTGTTATGCTCTCATTTAATGTGTCTGCACATCCCTGCAGGTAAAGCATAAATAAAGGCATGAAAGCCTTTATCACAGGTAGAAAATTAGTTGTTTGTGTATATGCTAACAAATTGGCCTATAATTCATTCTTATATGTATCACTATATATGCTCTTGTTGGTTATGAAATAGACATATTATCCAGATGACAGAAAGGTTTAGAGCAAAACTCCGACAGCTTATGGCTTTCAAAGCTGGGATGAAAAATAAAGATTATTATATTGACATGATATTCCAGGGATCTCTTCTGAAATATTAGTTAGGTTATGTTCAGTTAAAGAAAATAGAAAAACATGTAACTAGCCCGATTCCAGCGGAAAGACTGTATTGAGCCTGATGCATCTAGCTCACCTTCTATGCATCTAGATCCCAGCTTTTCTCATCCTGGTTTGTTCCAGATCTGTCTTGTTGGGACTATAGCTCCCATAAGTTCTAGCCAGTATGGATTCCAGTCCTAGCACATCTGGAAAGCCTTAAGTTGCAGAAAGGACTGTCCAGCTGCACTCCCAGATGGAGGCATAGGGGGATGCTCCAGAGTTCCCCATGATCAAGAAGTAATATCCAATGAGGTATAATAGGCCGTCGCTAGAAGCAAATATTCTGCCAATGCATGCTTGGAAGTGCTTTGTATTTGTGCACAAACCATGGCTGCTTCCAGACAGAATGGTTCTAGTGGTAGTGATCAGAAGGCATTCAGCTGTTCCACATTTTTCCTATAAGAAACTGAAGCTGAAAGATAGCATTGCCCAAACAATGTAAAATCCTATGAAGTGGTGTGATAAAGGCAGGTGCCTTTCTTTTATTCTTGTCTAGGTCTTTGTATTGACTTTTAATGCTCTTTTAAATTATTTTTTAATTCTTGTTAATGTTTTTATCTACTGTATTTAATTTTTATACTTCATTGGAAAGCATGCAGAGTGCTTTGGCTACTGGTGGTAAAGAAATGAAATAACAACAATAATTTCATCTGAAAGTCATTCATGTCATTTGTTTCTTCTTATCAATAACTGAATATGTATTTTTAATAATATTTATTAATGGTAGTAGTAACAGAATGCTGAATCCCAGAATGGAAAATGGTGCCAACCTTTGCTCTCTTTGTCTGGTCTTGCCCAAAGAGCAACAGCTGGCAGGAGTTTCCATTAGAAAGTTCTTAGGAAGAGAAAACAGCTGGCAATGAACTGCATGTTTCTACCCAGCAGCTGCCAGTTGAAGAAGCAAAAGAGCAACGAGAACTGAAAGCCTTGCTGCGCTGGCATCGCCTTAGAGATGAGCTGCAGAACTCTGAAGAAGATCTGCAGGTGTTAAGGTAGAGTCCATATTACTTGTCTGTTGCATGTTCTTTCCATGGATCATTTTCCTTCTTCAAAATAAATATTTCCAAATGTTCTGATTTAAATTGCTGTTTCTTTCAAAGGCGTTCCTAAAGAAATGTACTAAATCAGTTCAAATGTGTTGAGGTATGGGGTACTGTAGACAGAATGAGGAGAAATAACTAACCTATGCATGTTTAGACAGAAAAATATACCACAGCATTCCCTGGCCAACCATGGTAGCTGGAAATGCTGAGAGCTGTGGGACATGTTTCTGTCAAGCTATGCACAGGATTGTATCCTAATTTGCTGTGCTGTTTCTAATAAATATCACATCATGTTTTTCCACATGGTGACTCTCTGAAATAAGCCACTCATATTCCCACTTTACATAAATAAATTGTAACAGAATGAGAAGAGACTTGCCTGAAGTCAATGATATGAGGTCCATGATTTAATGTCCCATTAAATCTAGTGGGAACATATGTAGAATTGGGGTGCTTGAAACTTAGGGTGATTCCAGATGAGAAACTCTTTTCCATATTGCTTGACTTGTATTTCTAGTTGCACAATCATTTCCTGTCCTGCACAGTAACTCCTCTGTAGAGCCTTTGCCTTCTTTCCAGTATTTTGCCTTCTCTCTCTCTCTCTCGCTCTCTCGCTCTCTCGCTCTCTCGCTCTCTCTCTCTCGCCTTCTAAATCTTTTCTTTACCGAAAATGTAGAAGAAAGCATTTTGTGTTTCTCTAAAGCTACTTTTCTCTGCATGGCTCTCAACAGCCTCTAATTGATTGCTTCCTGAACATTCCTTCTCTCTTGCAATACATGCTGTCCTACCAACCTCCTACTGCAATTAGCTACTTAATTAAGGGATTCTACTGTGCCATTTTCCCTATTTTCTTTGTAAAAAAAAATCAAGTCATCGCATAACTTTGATCAACTGATATAAAAGTATTGAGGGAAAAATTTTAAATAAGGCTGATTTATGTTTGAGGAAGGGGCTTTGGGATGTTCTGCTGAGATAGTAGTTGCAGAAACAACTAACAAGAAGGATCAACTTAACGAATTTTCTTTCTGCATTGTGAACTGATCAGGTAGAATTATTAAACTGATTCAATTTATCTGTAAAGATTTGGATGTGAAATTGAGTAGAAAAAAATGATACCTTCCTAGAGGAAATGGGTGGGACTTAAAGCCCATCTTATAACCTGTTTACTTGGAACTAAGCTTAGCTACAGTTCTCTGATTCTGTGATAGAGGCACCTTTAAAAAAGAAAATACATGTATTTGTGCATTTTTACTAGAACACACAACTGACAGCAGTTGCCGCATTCCCTGCAGTGCTCCTGTTTAGCCCCCGGAATGGACCTGCAACAGGAACCGAGGGCTTTGCAAATATTTGCTCCTTGGATGCTTTGCTGCAGGCATTGGAGGTAGAGAGGGAAATCTTGAACTGGCATGTACAGCTGAAATGGATGGGGCTTACAACCCAGCAAAAAAGATGTTTACTCAGAAGTAGGGCTTACTCAGAAGTAGGGCTTTTTTCAATGTTGGAAGAAGGGTGTTTGTGGCAACTATGAGGGGTCAAGAAAGGGGCAGACAGTACCCATTCAGCTTCAGTGTGGATGGAACATACTAAAAAAGCACTAGACCCCCTGAAATGTGGATGGTTAGTTAAATTTTTGCTTATTTACAGCAGAAAAGTGATGATTTTGTATTGCTAAGAATTTTTGTCTGCAAGTATCACTGAGATACAAAACAGTGTTAAATATTGATCCCAATAAAGGTAGGGATTTATTCTATCGTGGAACTCTTCTGATTGGATTATTGTGAACTAATCCAGTTTAACTCCAGGCTCTGACTACAGATATAGAGCTAACTGTTTACTGCATGGTATGAAGCTTGCCACATCACATTTACCCCATACCACCCCACAGAAAATTGGCTGAGAATACTTAAGCATGAGGCACTGATTTAAACCACATTTCAGCAGAAAATTCCCTAGTTGGTTTTAATCATGACTTTCATTTTTATGTTTAAAGTTGCTTTCCTAAATGTGACTTTCATTGGTTGGTTCTAAGCATGTGAAACCATATTGATTTGATCATTTTACAATTAAATGCAGACTTCGTACTAGATAGTGTACCATTGTCTGGCTGTGTTTACAGTTTAAGTATAAACTCCAAATGTATGAAGTTGTATAGCAGAATGGTTAGTTCCTTGTTTGCTTTGCTTGTTTTATGTTCCATAAAATGTTTCCAACCCTCCAATTCAGTGCATTGTTATGCATGGCATTCAGCTAAGACTGACATGGACTGCTAGCTATTGTTATGCTGTGCATAGAATTTCAGCCTGAATCTTTGATCCAGGAAAATCTACACAGAGAGTTGGGCTTTTACATATTTCTGAACAGGATATCCCTGATATGCTTGCATTGTATATAACTTGTTAAAGTAACCACTTTGAAAGATCAGCTTGCAATACAGTCCAAGAGAAACTCCTGTTTGTCATAATCCTGGCCTTAAGTAATGACTTGAAAAGGGAGGAGGTGCCACAGAGCTCAGAGGTCCATCAGTCATGGAGATCACCACCTAAAGGAGCTGCATATCAGCCCTGAAACCAAAAGGACCCCTTGGTGGATATAAACCCAGGACCCAGTAGTCAAGACATCATGTGCACTCCATTAACTTTTATTTGGTATATTTTTATCCTGCCCTTCTTTAAAAATGGATGCAGGACTTCTGACCTGGGAGTAAAATCTGGCTTTCCAGTGGGTCCCATCCAGCCCTCCAGAGTTGTCTTCACTTGGCCTCAGTCCCTATCTCAGAGCCGCTAATTGACTGCTTTCCAGCTTTGTTGCAGTTTTCCCTTATTACAAAAGGCTAGAAATGCCTCTCCTAAAACTATATGAGCTTAAAGTGCCAACATGTTTCTATTTTTAGTCCTGTTCTTTTTGCCTGTAGTCCTGTCCACCACTGGAATGCTACCCCCAAGAGATTCTCTAAAATGGGATTCATCCTTCAGGCTGAAAAAGGTTCTTCACCCCTGCTCTAAAGATTTGTAAGCAGTGTAAAATTTGTCCTCCCTCTCTGCTTTTATTATTTTAAAGAACCCTTGTTAGGTAGCTTAGGCTGAGACAGTTGACTGGCCCAAGGTCATCAAGTGAGTTCTGTGGCTGGATTGGGATTTGGAAGATTTCCATTTTGGATTAACATACCTCTGGCAAAATGAGTGTACCTGATATATAGTTGTGGCTTGGCCCAGTGTCCATCATGTGAGCCTTTCCTCTTCATCAAGCCTGCACATAACTATGGTCTTTTTAAAGCTTCGTTCATTAATGTTTATTCATGTTATTGTGTTTGCAAGGTCAGACAAGTCAGACATTTTCAAGTGTGTAGCTTGACAATAGGTGCAGATAGGAATGACAGCCTTATCGCTAGCTACCATGCAGCTGCAGGGAACACAGCTGCTGATTGCCAGGGTGGTTGGGTTGTTGCTGTTTTTGTTTCAATAGAATATTTTGTGATAGAGAACATGGGTTGTTGTGATAGGAGGCTTATCTAGACATTGGCTTTTCTAATTTAATTCCTAAGGGTTGGTCCTGTGCTGCATTAATTCTGCAACTGGTAGTTTAAAGAATGGTGATGCTAGGTATACATATTAAATATAATATGTGTGTATATTTAAGATGCTCTCTATCCTTCTGTCTGCAGGCTCTCTGAGTTGCTAACAATAGTTAAAGTAGAATAGAATAACACTAAAAATTGCAGAGCAGTATATGATAAGATAGAGTAAATCACTGTCGCAGCAGATTAGAATAATAAACCTAAAGAGCAGATCTAAAAGACCTGGTCAGATAAAGATATTAATCTGGTGCCAAAATGACATAAGGGTTGGCACCAGGCAAGCTTCCCTAAGGAGAACATTCCAATGATTGGATATCACCACTAAAAAGGCACTTTTAGCTTACCATCTGCTTCACTTGTGAAAGCAGGAGACCTGAACAAGGATCTCAGTGGAAAGTTCATGTAGGTGAAAATAGTTCTTGAGATTAGAGTTTAGAGTGTTAATAGAATTTGCAAGGTTAATACCAGCACTCTGAATTATCTCTGATAATAAACCAGGATTCAATGCTTTAAGCTTGTGAAGGTACATTTCATTCACCTACCTGTAATAGTGTATATACTATGTTTTGCACTGACTAATTTTTCAGTGGTAGCCCTATGGACGTCACATTGCAGTAACGCACATGGGAAATTAGCAGTGCATGGATCACTCAGGCAAAGCTGTTTCCCTGTCCCCACCAGCTGAGGGTCACAGTTGACATTTCAGTCTCGGCTGATTCCTGCCAGATATGTTTCTTTGACATCCAAAGTAAAGACTGGGTCTAGTAACTTTGCTGAACTGTGATCCTGGCCCTTAATGGCAAGGACAGTCCTTTCCAGATCAGATCAATCACCTACCAACCATACTGCCATTCTGACTGGACTGTTTCAATTTACTGGAAAAGTGTTTTAGCTTACCAACAGTGGTTCAGATCTCCTACAGCTTCACTTGAACTTGATAAAAACTAGAGCACACTGCTGACAAAACTTTCCCAACAAACCATAATATGAGCTACCATGAAGCAGAGAAATCGCAATCCAGCACCATCTTTTGGAAATTGCCAGTCAGGTGGAAATGAAACCATTGAAGAACAATTCTCCCACTGTCCACTTTGTACAAATGAACTGGAAGGGTACAGGGATCAATGGCAGTCACCTTGATTGCCAGTTCTCAGTAGAAAGGTTAGAAATTCAGTCAGTCAGTCAGTCAGTCAGTCAGTCAGTCAAATTAATAAATCACATATTGAAAGTCATGCAACCATGTAAAAAAGTAAAGGATAGTATTCCCTCTGTACATCTGCTGGCATTGACATTTATCAAATAATCAACTGAGAAGCCATTTTGGCTCCAGACCTAGTCCAGAAACTAGACTGACATGAATCTAGACAACCACTGTCATTCAAAAGTATCTGGGGTTGCATGGCTGCATCCCATTCAAGCACCGTGCCTATAATGGTATGTTTGTGACTGGCCAGTACTTGGAAATATAATCAGAGTTCAGAGGGAATTTTGCCAAGAGTAACCCTACAACTGCCTCCTTCAAAGCAGTTTGTATCATAAAGAGGTATTTAGAACTTCCTGTACACAGCTGGTCAACACACTTCTGCTTGGCATGGTGAACCCAAAGGGACAAGTGCGAGCAGGTGGACATCCTGGCTCATTCCTCCATTCCTTCCCAAGTCCTCTTTCCTCAGTAACTGAAATTCATACAGTAACACATTATTTTGTGATGTTCTGGACACGATAACTGGCACTGCAACCAAGATGGTATTCCAGTTGCTACACAGACGGACAATCTTATCGTAGCAAGCAAGTCACAGAGAGCTTCAAGAGCTCTTTCATTTGTTTGCTGACCAAGTTGGAGACAATCATGTGTTCCAGGAAAGCTCTGCAGGATGACATCACAAAGGTGAAATAGTGGCATTGCCTCTTCACTTGCACAGCTTAGTTTCTATGTTAGCCTTTATCTTCAGTAGATCAGTAATTAATCAACAGACTTTACTGTGGCTTCTTCAGGTTAAAATATAGAAGGTAAATGACAGAAGGTGGTGGGAAGCATCCCCTTTTTCCAGTTTGGCTAATTTGGTCAACCAGTTGAGCTCCTGTGCACATAGCAATTTTTAATAACCTGCTCGGTAATATGTGGAACCTTGTCTGATAGACAAAGCATAAACAATTTCTTCCCAGGTGTTCTAGCAAACTAAGGAGAACATGAATTTTTCAAAATCTCAAATCACTAAATAAAAGTCACAATATAGAAGTACACATGTAACCATTTTGGAGACTTGTATTTTACATGCAGAAACAGACTTTTCAAAAATAGGTTCTCATATAATAGCTTCAATATTACATTAAACGTTGCAAGAATACATGCACTTCATCTGTGTGTTTTCTTAAGGAAAATTAGTTAAGATGACAAAGTACTGCAAGCAGTAGAATTTCATGAGCTATGGAACAAAAGGTTCTGTTAGGTGGAAAATACAGATTTTGCCTTTTTGTTTAATAATTGAGTTGATACACTAAATGTTTGCTAAAAAGATTCAGATGGAAAACTGATTAAACTACATTTATTTACTGGCGAGTGAATTTAGTAATATAAGTATGCCAAACTAGATCTTGATAAGGGGAGAAACAATAAATCTGGGCCTATGCTCCAGTTTTCAAGCACATTGCTACATATCCAAAACAGCTAGGTATCTGCAAAATATGGCTTTAAAAAAACCCTGTGATCTCCCCTGTGTCCCCTGCCTGATCTCCCAGAGCAGAATATGCAGTCAGCCTGTATGGGGACACTGTATCATAACTGAGCCAGCAACTTTGCTTGAGAATACCCTGAGACAGAAGTATGCAACCTTGGACTGTGGGCACATTGGACAATTTAAAAAACTGACCAGGGCACCATCAAAAAAGGGCACACTGCAAGTGAAAGCATTAGTTTGCAGCCAGCCTGAACTTTACATGAATCTAAATCTGACGTCAAAATATCCTTTACATTTTAGCACTGGAAGACTCATCCCTTCCTTTAAAAGCAGAACTACATCTTTTATCATAGCCTTTCCCTTTCTTTAGGTCACCCTAGTTGCCTCTGAGGGGTCGTCAAGTCAGATATCTTTCTTGCATCTACTGGATTGTTGCACAGGAAGCAGCACTGTTTGTTCTCCGTCTGTAAAACTTTGTTTTTATTGAGACTCTGACCTATTTCAGATGACATGACAACCCACCCTTGTTATTGCATGTGGACTGTGATGTAATATAAACAGGAGGTGCTTCACCAAGATTGGCTGGTTTAAAAAAAAAAACCAAACAAGCCGTTTTGCCATGCCCTCAGGCTGTTCTATGGTTGTTATCACCCATGATGGCTTGTCTTGTCATCTGAACCTGGAAAACATGACCCATCGTTCGTGAACCCCAACAACTGGAGTGCCACTTGGTGAAAGCAGAAGAAATGCTGCTGTTGACAAGTGGCTGCTAGGTAAGTGCTACTGAGTGCAGCCACCAAAGAGCCCCAGGAAAGCTTGGTGCTGCTCTCAAAAGTTTCCCCCTGCTTTCAGCAGTGCAAAGTGGCTATTCCTGCTTGTGGCTCAAAAGCAGGTTTCTGAAGCTGCTGGCAAGGATGGCAAGGATCTGTTCCTCCTTGAAAAAGAGGCACCGACCCCCTTGGCGAGGAAGAGTGGACTTCCTTTGCTGGCAGCTCAAGTGATCGAAATGTGAGCTGCTGGCAAGCAGGATTGTGAAGCAGGAGCACAAGTTGCTCTGTGGTGCTACCCCTTTTAAGGCAGTGATGCAGAATGAAATGGACACTCCACCTCCATCTCTTGCCCAAAGGATCTACTCTGAAGCAGGAGAAGGTGAGGATGCTCAATCTGCTTACTGGTGTTGCTTCAGAATGGACCAATGCTGCAGGGCGGCTCACCAGCTCTTGCCTCTTACCAGCAGGTCTAACTCCGGGACAGCAGGTGGGTGATGCCTGATCTTCTGAGTAGTGCCAATCAAGGGGAGAGCAATGTGGCTCAGTGGATCATGGCCTCCTGCCCAGGAGGTCTACCTTTGGGCAAGAAGTGGCAAGCAGTGGTCCACTTGGTGGTGTTAGCCTATTCTGGAACAGCAGCACCAAAGAGATCCTTCTAGAGCAGGAGGTGGAGGATGCCTGATCAGCTCCTCCATTCTCACTGTTTATGTTGTAGTGACCAACTCCCCCCCCCCCCCGTCTTGTACTGCAAAGAGGCAGGGAGAACTTCCAGCCTCAGCAGGTCACAGTGCAGCACCTGCAGCAAGGGACAATTTGTAGCCCCTTCTACAGTGTTGAAGCCAAAGCTGGAAGTTTCTTCCATTGTGCTTCTGGGCAGGAGCTTTGTTTGTAAAATAGGGTTTCTGTGACAGATGTCATGAGCTAAAATCAGCTCATGATCTGTGGCTGTCAGAGAAAGGAGATTTGTTCTTTCTTTTCTAGGATACTGCCTAGAAAAATGAGGGGGGAAGAGAAGTGAAGTAGCCATTGGACTCTCCAAGGGTATTTCACAAAACAGCCAACCCACAATGCCTTGTTGGCAGGGTGAGTTGTCACGTCATGTGAACTCCACTTCCATATTTACCTGGTGATCCGGCTTTGTTAACATATTTATGGAACTTGAAGGTATTGCCCAACAATTACAGGTGTGTGGTCCTCTTTCAGTGTTTTATTCTGTGAGAGTAAGTTTATTCTATGAGAGTAAGTTTGCTGTTCATTTACTGACTGAACCAAAGCCTTTAATTTTATATTCAAAGTACATATTAATTGTTGAAATTTGAAAATGAGATTGGATATCTGGAAGGAATATTGTATTTTGGGAAAGAACTGACTGTTGTTTTGTCTTTCCATTTTTGAAATGTAAAATCTTAACATGCTACTGAATTAAATTCTGATGCAAAATGTATGTTTTTAAATATACCCAAACAGCTCTTTACTGTCGTCTTTGTTGAAGAAAGGCTGCCCTTGGACAAGAGGAAAATAGGCTTGTATGATTTGGGGACTGCAAGTTAAACTGATATCCGGCACTAATAAGTAATACTATCATCTAGCAGAAGTTTCTGCCCTCTAGCAGAGGACATCCATTGGTGAAGAATTCACAGTGTGAATTTATTCTTTTGGATGCTGATGTGCAAGGTTGAGCATATCAGGCCTGTGCTTTCAGAAGTGGCTGTGTTTCTTTAATATGCATGAAAAATTGCAAACAGAAGGAAAAGAAAAGGAAAGCTTAACCCCATTTTCAGCATATTGGGCATAGATGAAAGAGGCTATTCATCCTTGCAGGTGTAGTCTGGTGAGCTGCTAAGCCTGTGTTCAGGTAAGGGCAGCCAAAACCTGTAGTTGGATGTAATGAGTTCAATATCCTTCCTTCCCATTCGCCTCCATCTAGAGTGTCTCCAGCTCTTCTCATTTCCCTTTGCACATAATGTGACACTTCTGCCTGTGTAGCATGTCTTAGCAGAATGCCATGTAATATGATGTCATGTCTGGGACAAGAGTTAAGCAGCTTCACACCAGCTTAGAATTGGCTACTAGTTTAACTTCAGCTGTTTGTGCAGCCTTATATAAAGTTACACTAGAAAAATGCATTACTGTACTACTTTTCCCATGAACAGTTACCTGAATCAAGCATTTAAACCTACATTACAGCAGACTATCAGTCATACATTGCCTAATGGTAATCATCTTTCTAAAGCATTGTCAATCTATCTGTTGATGCCAATCCTGGATTTTTTGTGCTCTTTCAGGCCCAATAAAGAGAACACTGGCAAAGTGAGTGGATCTGGAGCATCTGTAGTCAAACATGGTCTTAATGCAGAAAAAGTCTTCATGCAGGTTCATTACCTGAAGGTCAGAATGCAAAAGTTGATGTTCTGAATATTACAAATCAATTAAAGTGTTTGTTTGAATCTTTCAAGCCCTAAATAACTCTATATTATTACCTGCATTCTTATGAAACTTCTGGAGCTTTCAAATCAGCACCTGAAGCCCTGCTCTCTAGACTGGCAGTCGAGCTGTTAGATGGCAGAGTACCTGTGACAGGGCCCTTTCTGTGGTGGCACCATATATCTGGAATAACCTCTCTAGGGAAACTTGTATAGTGATGTCATTTTAGCTTTTAGAAGAGCCTTAAAAACTTTATTGCTTCAGTCTGCACGTAGGTAGACATGGTGCTTTATTTTAGTGTTTATTTCATTGGATGCTGCTAATTTTAATGTTTCCTATTTGTGTTGTTCTTTTATTTTAATAATCTGGAATTTTACTTTACTGTTATTTGCTACTGATAACATTATGAGCTATCTTGTGAGTGTCCCATACCCTGAAAGACAGGCTACTGTATGTTAAAGAAAAAAAGATGACAAAACATCCTCTTTGTCCTCGTTGTTTTTGACAGGGTTATTTCCTCCTAAGATCTTTTGCAGAGAAAGCTGGAGAAGCTGTATATTTTGCTTTTTTAAGAAAGTTTGTGCAGGCCTTTCATGGACAACTGATACTCTCTCAGGTACTTGAGCCTCTTTTTCACTTTTCATTTGATTTGATTTGATGGGTTAAATAAAAGAACTTCAAAGAGTAACATTTTAAATTACTCATACATGTAACTGCTTTGGCTATTGGGCAATATAGAAAACAATCAGACAGCTAGTTAGCTTTAGGGTATGATCTACACTGGTGTCAACCAAACCAATCCATGGGTTAGAGCTCCTGTCCTATGAAGGCTAGCTAAATGCTAAAGCATGTGATTCGTCTTTGTTTAGGTGGGGGAGATAATGGAAAGACATACTAGAACTTTATAAAATGATATGTCCTATGGAAAAGTGGATCGAGGTTTGTTCGTTTTTTCTCATAATGCTGGAACTCAGGATCACCCAGTGAACATGAGGGACAGTTGATTCATGAGACAAGTGGAAGTACATGTTTACACAGTACAGATTACCTTAAGGGGAGAATAGACAAATTAATGAAGGGGGGGGCTGTACAAATTCATGAAGTTCTAGCAACAAGCATTAAACCGTGACAAGTAGGACATACAGACAGAGTTGGAGAAGGGTAATACTCCTTGCACTAACCCCCTCCCCAACTGATGCTAAAAATTTCATGGCTCTTGGAGCTTCCTGGAAAGTAGTTTTCTTTTCTATTTTGCCTCCTCTTGGTTTTAAAAAACATTTTGTACTTTTATAGAGAGCCAGTGTGGCGTAGTGGTTAAGAGCATGGGACTGGGATTCAGGCGATCCAGGTTCGAGTCCCCGCTTGGCCGTGGAGCCAAATGGGTGACTTTGGGCCAGTCACAGACTCTCAGCCCAGCCTACCTCACAGGGTTGTTGTTGTGGGGATAAGATGGAGGAGGAGGAGGCTGTAAGCTGCCTTGAGCCCTTTGTAGGAAAAAGGCAGGATATAAATCGGAAAAAAAAAAAAAACCTTGGCAGTGTCCCCCCATTCCCCCAAATGCTAAGATTTCTCTTTCATTTCTCAGTGCCTCCTATTTGGCTCATATCGTGTTGGCAAGCAACTCAGTTCACTGTTAGAAGGAATCATAATTAAATGGAGCTTCCAGATACACACATTATTCCTCTGAAAAGTAGTTGCTGGAGATGGAGAGCAAAGCAAATGGAAAGGTTGTTGCCTTCATGCCTGCTGACTGGTCATTGTTGGCAATAGCACGATGAGCATACTGTTTAATCTCATTATGGCTTTTCTATGGCCAGTAGTGCATATTATCTTTAGAACAATTATGATTGCCAACAAAAATGTTTTTACAGTAAATGATAGAGGCAAAAAGAGCTGTTTTATTGCCTGTTTCATTGCTGGTCTGCATAGATACACATTGAGCTAGCATGTTGAATCATCTTTGCTAAGCTGGAAATGTGCAGGCCCGCAGCCAAAAAGGTGCCCATGTGTTGGAAGACAGCAGGCTGTTGGACTTGATGACAGCCCCTTCCAACTCTACTACTATTCTGTTCTATTCTATTCATCGATTCCAAAGTAGGAAAAATAATTTTTCTCCTTGCAAACTTTGTATACCTTATCAAATCTGCATTGAAGGCTTTATTCAATGCAAAAAGTTTGTGTGTTTGCATGTTGGCATTCTTGTTTTAGAGGTTTTAGAGAACCAGCAGAAGAGTTAAGATCTATATAGGTCTCCATCACTTGCTCCAAATTAAAATATGCATTGCCTGATTATGTTTATCATGACATGCTTAAGTTATCTTTCAACACAGTAGATTCATTTGCAAGAAGTTTTGTTACAATATTTCTTTTAAAATATACATTAATATAACCTATGGAGGAGGGCTTTCATATCCTTGATGCTTTTAATAACCCTCAACTAAATCTTCTATATAGGACAACAATCTTGAATAATACAACCAGACTGAAATGTATGTCCTTAAGAACTTGACAAAAAACTGAGACACTTCTGGAAAGAGACCAGACAGGCAATGAAGACTGTATTTATTTTTTATTTTTTAAAATTAAATTCATACCAAAATTTAGAATTTTGAGATCAGCAGTAGGTCAAGGAACATCTGGACTTGACCCTTTGATAGACCCATGGCTGAATGCATACAGCTTTATTGTAACTGTGTTGAATAGTTTATTTTGTTGGATAGTTTTAGTTTTACCCAGCTTTTGCTCCAGGGATCTAAGAGGGGCTTTCATAGGCTCCAAGGTGATCAGGTACACATCCATGTTGTAAACATCTAGCTCCAAGTTGTTGAAACCTTTATATCCCATTTTCTAGATTATCTTGTGACAGTAGTTTCCATAAATTAATTCTGAACTGGTTCAGATATCCATCCCTGGCTCATTGAGGTTCCCAGCTAAGTTGGGATTTCAGTCAGGCTCTTCCATATCCGTTCCATGACTCTGGTTGTGACCCAACTCAAATTTCCCCATAAGATTCAATGTCAATAAGGTTAATCCGTTCTGGCCCCTCCGAATGTGGTTGTGAGCCAGTTTTTGGTCATGAGCCAAGTCAAATTTCCCCATAAGGTTCAATGTAAATGAGGTTACTCTGTTCTGTAACTATTTTTTTAATCAGAAAAATTTGAAACAAAGTGACAAAGAACAACAAGTACTGTACAGTACAGTGGAGAACACTAACCTAGGTGGTGGGGGGAGATTGTTGTTTTGAGGGAGAGTCCCCCTCCATAAGGACATGGGGGAGATCTCTTTCAGGGGTTTCCTCTCTTTGTCTCTTAGCTGCAGGGTCAATTTTGGTGAAAAATCTGTCTATAGTCACTTGTTTTTTCCTGCTCTGCATAACCCTCCGGAAATGAGAGACCACGTTATTGTTCATCAGATTTAACACTCTGTTCATTACATTTATGTTGGGGTGGTGCTTCGCAAAGAAACCCTGGCATGGGCGCGCTCCTGCAGGAAAGACGGGCACAATCTCGACCATCCCCCCCACTAGCACGATCGCGGCCCTTGAGTGGGGAGATGGCCAGGATCACAGTTGCGTTCATGCAGGGAAGATGCGCGTGATCACGGGTGCGCTCCTGCAGGAAAGACAGGCGCAGCACAGCACAGCCGTGATCACGGACGTGTTCCCTGCACAAACACGACTGCGATCCTGGCCATCTCCCCACTCAGGGGGGCCGGGGAGATGGCTGCAGTCTTGCTCGCCACCCAAAGCGGCGTTCATGACCCAAGTCAAAATTGTCATGAAATTTTTGTCCGTGACCCAAGGCATTTGTGAGCCAAGGTACCAGTGTATAAGACAAAGGCTTCATTGCACCATACTCCACTGAAATAGGAGGTTAAACAGATAGACAATCCTGAGGCTTGGCAAGATTGTGCAGAAGTAAAAGACACTGGCCTGCTGCATGGGAAATGTCCAGAGGCAAATTACCTCCCCTCCTACCAAGTTTTCATACGAAGCAGCACTGCTAAGCTGCCGAGTTAAGCCTAGCAAAGAGTGAGGAGTCACTGCCTGAGTGAGTGGGAGGATGAGAACAAGATGAGCAACAGCCTCTTGATAAGCAAAATTCATTTCATTCCCTGTACTTGGTCCAGTATAGCTCATCGTATTGAACCTGTTCATAAATGCCAGTTATTGAGAAAGTTTTTTCTCAGCCTAACAAAGCTTCTACTGATAGCAGTGTTTAGATAATCTCACAGCCCAGTCATACATGGATTTACATAAAGATAGATTTTACTAAGTTCAGTGGGACTGCCTTCTTATTAAATATCATTTGGATCACACTGTTAGAAAACTATAGTGCCAAACTATACAAACAAGCTGACAAGATGCCTTATTTCAGTTACATGAAAGCTACTGAATAGGGACAGAGTTTCAGTTTGTTTCAATTAGATCTGCTAGACTGATAGTAAATCAATTTGGTTAGTGAATTACATAAATACTGCAAAATGTTGGAAGATCTCAGCTCCTAAAGCTATTAGTCATCATTGTAGGATCATGTTACAATGGAACTGCTAATCCACTAGTCATTTTCTCTTGTGCCCCAGAAGCCTGCTATGAAATGTAGGTTTATAAACTATCCAGCTGTTCTCTGACCAGATGAAACTTTTCATTCTTGCTCCCATCCCAGAGGCAAATGTTTACAAATCAGTCTTTGAAACTGGTCATCTATTTTTAAAGCTATTTAAATGTGGGAAGGGAAAAGCAGCATTATCTTATTTAAGGCCTCTCATACTTGCTTTCAGAATTCTCAATGGGAAGTAGGGATTGCTGCACAAGGTACTATATCCCAGCACCATCATATTGATGTGGGAACAGGATAAAAGGAAGATGAGGAAGGCATCAACAAGTTCCCTTGCCTCCCCGTTCCACCTTTTTACCCTATTATTTTGTAGTAGGTTTCACTTTCAGGCTTCAGATTAAAGATGATCCCACTCAGACAGTAGAACTATAGCAATATTACTTTTGTAAGTGAGCATCCAATCCTCTGCATGTGGATTGGCAACCATACAGTGGGACTGTTCTGAAGGGTCTTCTACCCTCTGGAGTAGATTGGGGGTACATAGCAGGAGAAATCCTTTCCACCAGCACTTTCTGTGTGGCACTGTTAGATCTCCAGGACAGAGACACTGCACTGCTTGCCAGGATGCTCAGATGTGCTTCATTTTCCTACAGCAAGCAGAGAAGAATGCTCAGGGTATGCTTTAGAGACTGTCTAAAGTTTAGACAATCAAAGTATGAGAATATGAAGATGGGCTACCAGGGATTCAGTTGAGTAAAAAACAGAGAAAGGAATGGCCAATTCCTTCTTTCTGTAGTGAGAATTGATTGGGAATTCCCAATGCTGTTTTGTAGTGTAACATCTTTGTTGAGCCTATAGCAAAGTTAAAGTAACTTAAGAACTTCTGATAAAGAGATTCTGAAAGTAAATTTATTCACTGCATACATCTCTATAGGTTGTGTGTGTCTGTGTGCACATGCACGTGCACACACAGACAAATCCTGCTGCAAATGCAGATTTTTATGACTTTCCTAGCATAAGTATGAATAAGAATCTTTAAGTGAACATGAGATGCAGAATAAATACATGCATTAAAAAGTTTTAATGTTTCATATTCCTCCACACCATTAAAAATAATGGGATGGATTCCCAGCATTTAAAACTATGAAGAAGAGAGTATAACATCTAAAGTATAAATAATTGCTTGTATTCTGAATACTAGCCTTGTTTCTAGTGGCGTTTGTAGTATTTTTCCTAGATCTGAGCCACAGGTGCAAGGAAATGACTTCACATGTGAAACATTAATCAGTTTGCTTCCCCACCCCCTTTCATTTTGACTGCATGCTTGGTATGTTTTTAATAGTAGTTTTTGTTTATTTTAGTTGAGTAGCAAGAAAGTCTGGAATTTTAGAGCAGGATTTTTAACATATATAAAAAAGTCCATTCTGGTTTCTGTGAGAGAATCCATTGAATAACACCTTTCGATGAAATTTGTGTAATAAATGGAGTGTTAGTAACTATAAATAAACAGAAATGAGTATGCGTTTCTGATTCCACTAGTGTCGCTAAAGTTGATGTTTAGCTTGGTGATGAAAAATGAATACCTTGGGGATCAAATACTTTGCAGACTTTAATTTTCTCATTGTAACATCTGCTTAAACCAGTAAACAGCTGTAATATTGAGTTGGTTGTTGAAATTACAACTTTGCATATTGAATTATGCCAGTGTGGTATAGTGGATAAGAGCAGGGATCTGGGTTCTTGTCCCCGCTCAGCCATGGAACCAGCTAAATGAGTCTGGGTCAGTCACAAACTCTCAGCTCAACCCACAGGGTAGTTGTTGTGAGGATAAGATTGAAGTCGGCAGGAGGAGAATGACGTAAGCTGCTTTGAGTTCTTTTTTTTTTTAAGCCATGGTATAAGTCTAATAAATATTTGTTCAGTAATGCTAGCAATGAGGTATGGATAAAGCTGAAAACCTAACCAGAATTGGGCTTGTTCAGACTATTCTTGTTTCTCCTTCTGAAGAGACCAATAGCGAAGCCAAGACAGAGCAAGTCTTGATTACTAATTTGTGCTTGGGGATCCAGACATTACGCCTCCTCTCCATCTTTTGGTTTTCTTTCTCTAAGACACTGCTGAATGGGGTTGGAAGGAACTTCAGTGGAATGACCTTCTAATCCTACAGCATATTTTGTCAGGGTTTGAGGAAGCCAAGGATGGGACTGTGAGATGGAAAATGACTATGGAGAATTCTTAAACTATTTTTCATTTATTATAACTAACTCGATAGACTATCTACCCATCTTTCTGAAACGTTGCTTGTTTTCTGCTTGAGGATACCTGTGTAACTATTGCCAGTTTTATAGCAATCACTTCAAAAAACGAGGAGGAGGAAGAGAAGAACAAGTGAGTCACCCCTCCTGAATTTGAGGCTTCTCTTTTCACCACTACACCCCTATTTCTGACACTTTGCAAGCTTCTTCCTTAAAAAGACCTCTAGGCTATGGATCATATTTATAGCAATAGTACACAGAAAACATAGGAGGATAAGCTCATTTTCTTTGGTATACCGTCAAAATGTCAAGGTTGTTCTTGCACAAAACTGTTTTTACCTATTCAATTGAAACCTGAGAGGCTAAATTCCTTCAGAAGGGCAGCTACCACCTAATTATGACAGAGATGAATGTTCAAATTTCCAATAATAGGTAGTGCTAGGCATGACGCTGAGGATGTCCAAATATCACCTCAGATTTGGTACCTGAGCTGAAGCAAACAACTTCCAAATAAGTCCTAGCAGAACTAGGCCATTTTCTAAAATGCAAGATCAAGGTCTGAGCTGAACATAAGGGTTGGTGCATACTAATAATTGATAAAATCTGACAGTGTCCTAAAAGTCAGTAATTCCACGAGAAAGCAAAATAATTTGAGATTTAATAATTATATTACAGCATCTATCCTAGCACATTCATAATATGATACGTGTCTAATAATTTGTTCAAGTATGTGTAATACATTTTGGTCCATTTCTTTGAGAACTAAATGCCTGCTAAGTTTTTTGAACATTTGTTTTTCCAAATTTGACCAGACAGAAAAGTTTGGTCCATTAGATCATAATTTTTGCACTTTATTTTGACAACTTGGAATTGTTATCATTTGGTTGGCTGGATTGATTTTAAATGAATTCCATCAGTCCACCAACAGGAACACATATTGCAATTGAGTATTTTTATCTTTTTAGCACCCTGAGACTATCCCAATACATTTGACCCAAGTTGAGAAAAAGAGAATGCATGAAAAAACATTCTATCTTATCTTGATCTGCTTGACAGAGATAAAAAGTTGGCATTGCAGCATGTATACTAACAATCCATCCTGTCTGACTCCTTCCTTTTTAAATTCAGCAATCAATGACATATGATTGCAGTACAGTTAAGTATTAAGCCACTTACAAACATTCCATTTAACTTGCCTTTCTGCCACAGTTTTGTGTGACCAAGAAACAGATCCCAGAATTAGACTGTGCATCTGAAAGGCAAGGCAGTTAGAAGCTAGCTTGATTTTTAATGACCACCATCACCAATGCAGAGAGTTGGATACTCCTTCCACCTCAGTAACCATTCTGAGTGCATCCCTTTACCTTATTCCATATGGCAAGTGGTGGCATTCAGTTTTATGAGAAAAGGAAATCACTGGGGAACAGTGTTGCTTTGGAAGCAAAAATGCTCTGCAGGAACTCTGCACCTCCCCATGAGCTTTCTTGAAAATCTGTAAGTATTTCATATTCTACCCATTTTCACCTCAGCATAATGTCAGGTATTTTGCTGGTAAAATACAGTAAAAACACATTAAAATAATTGTACAGTTTGGTACAAAACAATAGAGGCAAATTGCTTTTGTGGTTGAGTGGAAAATAGATTTGTGTAGATATCAAACTTCATTCTGGCTAGTGCAATATTTGTGTGATAAGTACCAAGTAAAAATGTAGAAATATGTGGAAAGTCAGCTTCATGATGGTTCTGCTACCCATTTTTGTTAAAATATTGACAGTTAAGGCTGCAGTTGTAGACACATTGCCTGGATTAAGTTGCACTGAAATGAATGGAACATAATCTGATGAAATCATGTGTATGATTACCCTGCCAACTTTTTGAAATTCAAATATATTTGTAAAACTGGGACTTGCAACTCAACGTTGCTATATAGATTGCTCCTCTTAAAAGTTCCAGCCAGCTAGTCATGCCCTCTTTCAGGAATTTGTTGCCTGCTTTTATATACTGTTTGCTTGCACTTTTGTAAACTGTGGGGCTCCCACAATCCTGCTGGTATCTTCTTGTCCATGTCTGTTGCTCTGTTTGCTGTGTAAGGACAGGCACCGAACCCTGAATTTTGGAAACAGAAGGAATGATTTATGAGGAATAAGTGTGTTTGATCATACTTAATTAGTTACCTCTGTATATTTTGAACCTGCATTTAGGTTCAAAATAATCCTCTTGTTTCCATTGTTAATATTTTAATTGGATTGTTTGACTTCTGTAATACAGATATGAAAGGCCATACAGCCATAGTGGATAAAGTTTAGTGTAGTGTCTGAGCAGTGTATTAATTAGAACTTATTCTTCTCTCCCTCTCTGGCGTGTGTGTCTGTATAAGTTTATATTTTCCAGTATCTCATTTTGTAATCATGTGGCTGATAACTTGAAGTAACGGAATATCCTTGCTATGTCTATTTTTTTTTTTTACTTTCTATGAAATAAAATATCAACAGTTCTAAAATATTGCCAGGTGTTAATTGGTGATATTACATTGTATTTTTTGTTATTTTTCCAGGATTTTCTTCACTTGTTGCTGGAGGAGATCCCACAGCTGAAAGGGTAGGTGGAAATAAACATAAAGATTTTTAAAAAGTATTGGGTGATGTATACAAAGTTAGTTTAGTCTTCTGCAGAGATTTAATTTAATTGTAAGAAATAAATGTAGAATGATAACCTTCTATATAAAACTTTTATGACTTCATGTATACCACAGATAATAAAAATGCACGGTGTTTATGATTTCTTCTTTGGAATAAATTATCAAGGCTGTGTCCATCTCTTGCCCCTCCCAAGAGCTCTAAGTGGACTTCATGCAATCCTATTCACAATGGGGGCAAATCCCATTGACTTCAGTGGAACTTAGATCTGAGTAGACATATATAGGAATATGCTATAAATGTAAGCTGTACAAGTTTCTACGGGTGACATCAGCAGTTTTATAGGAGATGAAAAATATAGGACAAGAGAAACTCATATTATCAAAGTGTTTAGATTTAAAGATCTTTTAAATGCTTCCAGAATTTTGATTAAATAGTGTTACTAAGCAGTGATGTTATAAGTAGTGTCATAAACTAAGTCTTTTCATTTGAAAAGGTTTTCCATATTCTTCATAACACAACTGATATTTTATTGCTTGTTTCTATAGACCACAAAAAATAAACACTGGACCACTGATTGCCATGGGTAGTAGTAATTTTATTTCTAAACTTGGTTCATTGATCCTGCATTGTGGAGCCTTCAGTGTATCAATAAATATGTAATTTAAGAACCTACACAATTGTTAAAAGAAGGAGGATATCTGGCCTCCATTCTCTGCAAGTGGGATGGAATCAAGACACACAGAGTTAGTGAAATTCATTTGTTTCAGTCAGATTTAGGATCATTGAATTAGCTTCACTTTCTTTCCCATTTCTTAGTTTTATCGGTTTAGATATGACCAGGAAGAACAGGCTTGGAGGTCTAAGAGCGCTCCAAGAATATTTTAAACATTGTTAAGTTTGTTTATGCTAGCTTCTCCTTTCAGAAAGTATGTGTAAGATTTTAGTTTTATGATAGCATACTACATAACTGGTTATAAAGTAAATTATCAGAATTATGAATAGTGAGATGATAAAGTATGATGCCAAGAATTACAGAACATTATATAAAGCACATTTTCATCTACTATGCTTGTGGTAACCATATTTTTCCCATTTATTACTAAACAAATTTCATTTATTAGCATCATGAGATGTAAGCTTTATTCTTCTAAAACAGGAGTGTTCAATGAGTCACCCTCCAGATATTTTGGCTCACAACCCCCATCATCCCTCGCAATGGGCTGTGTTGGCTAGGGCTAGTGGGAGTTGTCCACCAGACATCTGGAGGGTTTCACATTGACCACTTGTTTTAGAAACACATAGTATAACTCTTCTCCTGTGGCATGACCTTTAAAAGTTCTAAAACTAAGTATGCTAATAATGATCGAAGACTGTGATTGTTGGAATTTAGTAGCATAATTAAATTTATTGGCGGGATTCAATCTTCTTCACGCTCATCTGCCCCATCCAACCCTCCAACCTTCCTCATACCTGCCTTGAAGCTCTAAACAAAGTGGAATGGAAAAAATGAAGGACACACATTTTCCTTCTGCACAGCACTTGGCACACTGCTGCAAGCCATGTTTCGTAAGTGCTGGGAAGTGTAGTTTCCCCAGTGTTACTGACAGCAGAGCTGAGAAAACTAGATTTTCCACTGTTTCTGGCACCTGGTTTGCAGCCATAGCAGTGTGCCGGCAGATCCTCTTTGCCTTTATTCCACTGCTTTGTAGAGGATGTACATTTGTTTCAAAAACAAAATAACCTCTTTCCTTTCTAATTTGCTTATGCAGGAAACACATATATAATATGAATGGATGAACCTAATGGAAGTTATTTTGTTTACTTTTCCCCACTTGTTTCTAACAGGAGGGATTCCTGGAATATGCAACAGACATAGACTTGCATTGTTTATTAAACTGACAAAACTGACAGACATCTTCTTTCTTTAATGAGAGGTTTCTTCCGTCATTTACTCAAGCATTTTTATCCCATTCTTCAGCCAAGGCTGCCAGAGTAGCTTACACAGATCAGGAATGAGGGGTTCGCAGCCTATAGGCTCACACGCTGCAGGACATAAGAAAAGCCTTGCTGGATCAGACTAAAGATCAGTCTAGCCTAGCAGCACACATATGGTACAAAAAGAAAGGGGACTGGAAAACAGGAGGGGAAAAAGCACAGTCTGGTACTAGATTCTCCGTTGCACATTTTAGCATGTCAAGGAGATTGGTCTCACCGCAGTGGAAGGACTGCCTCTTCCCCTTGCTCCAGCGGCCTTAGCTATGGCAGTAGTGACAGGAAGGAGGGAGATGCTCCAGGCACGTTGGAGGGTGCCTGACTGCTGCTTGTTTTCCTTGCGAGGGCCTTTTTCTTGCGAAACTTGTCCTATTAGAAATTAGTGCAGTGTATTAGCTTCTTTTTCCCCAGATTAGTGTGAAACTTCTGAGCAGCAGGAGATCAATGATTTTACATCCATGCCTAATATCTGCTCTCAGTAATGATGGCAAACAGGTACCGGGCTCATCAGAACTTAATATGTGCTTGTACAGCCATAGGTGCCCCAAGCCCCCCAAAGCCCAGCTGCTGCAGCAGAATCCACCACCACTGTAAAAATGGTGGTGCTAATGGTGGTGTTAAAGTAGTTGAAAGAAGTTCTGCACAACCCTGAAGCAGCCTGGATTGCTGTTTTATTGTCACTAATGTCTGTGCAAGAGGGAGAATGTGATTCTTATGTGATTGTAAGTGCACATCTATGTGCATAATTGCAGCTCCCATTTTCTCACACATATATGGTCTTCCACCACCACCACCAGAATGCACTTATATCCTGCCTGTTTTGTTTTTCTCTTGCAAAGACACCCAAGGCAGCTTACATAGTCCTCCACTCTATTTTATCCTCACAACAACCCTGTGAGATGGGCAGGGTGACAATGAGTGATCCTGCTGCTAGATACACATATAAAGTATATGCTTATATACTTGTTTGGCCCTGAATGTTTGGCCCTGAATCTCTTCTCATTGAAGAATGATGGCTCTGGGATTTGGAGGCATTGTACCAGGGGTTCATTTTTTGTGTCTAAAACATATTAGTGATTTGGATCCAGGGTTAAGTCATTCAGGAGTCTGTCATATTAGTGAATGGTTAATCTGTTTGGGAGTTGTCTACTGCCTTCTGTCCCACAATTATTTGACTACCTTGACATGAGTGGGGCATCTTGCAGATATGTGTTTCAGTTTTACAGAACACACATTAGTAAAAGATGTTTTTGTAATAAAATTTTGTAAGGAGCCACATTCATTGTTTTAAATATTTCTTCAAAGTTGTGTTCCTCTTGTTGCTTCAGGCTAATGGAGAATATAAGTGCCTGGGAAAGTGCTGAGTTAGTCAACAAATTTTAAAGCTCATTTGACATTCCAGGAAATGCTTTTTACTTTTAGCTTGGCTTCTTAACAAAATATTTATGAGGAGCCAGGGTATCTTGTGTGCTGAAAAAACTTCAAGAAGAGGTACAGAATCAAGCTGCTCAAATGTTTTCATAATTCCTCAATTTTGACATGGTCCACATCATCTACTTTTTTCATGCTTTACTTTTACCGTGGACCTAAACATGCATTAACCTTTTTAGGTGTAAACCTAAAAGCCATACTACAGTGTACAACAAACAGCATATGGAAACATGTCCAATAAGGGTGTACTTGTCAGATAACTACAATACACTGATTGCCCATTTAGTGATAAACAAGGTTTGTCACTGCATAATGTGAGAATCAGTGACAAGTATAAAATGATTAAATTAAAATTGCTTATTCATTAATCTCTATCATACTTCCTTCATCCACATGCTTTTTTTCTTAACTTCAGCCAAACATGCTTCTTAGAAATCTCTGGGCAGTCCAAAGAAAAAGCTTCAGGAAAGGCTAAATATTCTGCACCAAACAATCACTTCTTGTACTCAAATCCTATCCCAAACATGTTTAGGAATTCAGCAGAGAACTGGATCTCAAACCAAAGTCTGTTGCCAGAAGACTAGCTTGATCCAAAGTCTCTCTGTTTTGCTGTTTCAGATGTTTCCCAGTCTTACAAATCAATGAATGTGAAATTGACTAGATGATGGGCTTCTGGTCCAGTCAATTCAACTGTAGTGGACATTATGCTTATTTACTTAATCTGTTAGGTACTGAAATTTTATTTAAAAACTTTTAAGAATTATTTGGAGAGCAGGTAGTATGTTGCTTATCATGGACACCATTCAGTAAATGCCAGTGGTGCATGATTTTTTGCACTTGTGCTAGTCATATTTCTCAGAGCTCTTTTTAGTTTTTCCTTGGCACAGCTGGAAGTACTAAGAAAATCTGTAAGAATGGTTTGATCAGACAATAGTGAAGGAAAGAAAAATCCTATGTATATAGCATGTTCACTGATTGCTTTCCATTACAATCGGGTATCTTTTAAAAACTCACATTTGAACTGAGTCCTACCAGTGTAGATGTGGAAGCTGTTGCTATTTTTAGGCTGTTGTTCAAGAGTGCATTCTGAGCTTGCTGCAAGCAGTAGTTATGTTATAAATGTATATTTGCCAAGTGCACCTGATCCACTCTTGTGGTAGATAATGAAAAATGAAATGGTAGTCAATGAAAAAGGCATGTACACAGCAGGGAGTTTCTGTTTCAGCATCTTACAGCAGCTTTCCCCTGTCCAGATGACTGGAAGTTCAGTGAAAAGAACTGACAGGGAAGGTAGATTGTGCATAGTATCAGAATTAAATTAGACAAAATTGACATCTATATTGGTTTGGCTCTAAAGAAGTACCAGGGAAAACAGGAGGTGCATTTTCCAGCCCTGCAGCCCCTGACTCAATCTTTCCTAAAGATGAGGGTACACTGCTAAATGTTGTGTGCTATCAGTGAAAAATTGAGTGCAAGCATCTTCCACCCACCACCCTTTCCACAGCCCACCACATTCAAGATGCTTCCATAAATAATGGAAGAAGTTTTGGGCAGAATACCAACGAGAAAGAAAGAGAAACGGCATCTTTCACCATTCCTTTCTGCTGGCACTTCCTGCCTGAATCAAAGCCATTGACATGGTTTGAACATAACGATGAGCCTCTATAGGCTAATTTCCCCAAGGAAGTTGTCAATGGGTACCAGTCGCCATTTTAAAATGCAAGCTGCAGTGAAATGTCATTGCTTGACATCATGTGCAAGCGCAGCCAGGATTGGTTGTTGGGGTAGTAAACAACACACAATCCATGGCCTGTTATATAGTTCATTTGTATGCGAACTCTATCTTTGTTTTACAGTGTAAACTAATTTACAGCAGCCTGGAGTCCTCCAGTTGTGTTGTACTACAAATTTCATCTTCCCCAGTCTACCAGACAAATTAGCCTGCATGGTTGGGAATAGTGTAAACTTACTCTGTCACATCTGGAGAGCACTAGGTTGGGGAAGACTGATGCAAAGCTGAGACCATGCTAATGCATTAATTATTCTCAGACAGTTTTTAGCTGCTTGCTCTGGTTATTTCTATTGAAATAGATCTTCATTCCCTCCTTTCCACTACTCTCTCAAGCTGAAATGGAAAAGCCACACAAAAAGAACTGCAGCACACCTGTTCATTCTTTACATATGTTTCATCAGTGCATTTGAGTTTCTTAAGCATATGTTGTCAACTTCAATAAGCATTGAAGTTATCACTAGTTTTTATATGCAGGGTCCAAGCTGCCCTTTATCTTCAGGTGTCATCATTTCAGATGTTATTAATTAGAAAGGTCAATCCCAGAATGCTGTTAGCTTGTCAAATTACTGTTCAGGTAAAACAATTCATTTCTATCAAAGTGCTCTGTTGAGATATATATATATATATATATAGTGTGTATCCTATGAGTAAAGTTTAATTTTGAATTTTCTTGGAAGGTATGGCCTATCGGTTGAAAATATTTTCCAGAAGTGGCTTGACTGCTCAGGAATCCCAAAGGTAAATGCAAAAGATCTGTTCTGAATAGAATCCAGATTATAAATTTGTTGAGCATGTTGTTCAAATTACTGTCTCTATTGCAACAGGTATGGCATAAAATAAAATTCCATTTTTAATGACATCCACTCCTTATATCTTTATACCGCACACATATGGAAACCTGTTTTTATCAGTTACAGGCTTCATTTTCTGTTTTCCTGAAAGAGACGCTGCCAAGAGGGAAAACTTTTAAACCGCATTTTATTGCTAAACTTACTGTTCACTGAAGACTGTACTATTAAAAAAATTAGTGACACTTCACATGTTGTTTAAGTAGTGGAAGATAGAATTGGTTTTGTAAATTCCTGTAGGTGAAGGGGAAAATCCCTCCATTCTAAAATTTATTCATTGACGGTTTTATGTGTAGTGAGGGTGTAGTGTTCAAAAAAGCTGCACACCTGTTAACACTACCAGCTATACCAGTTCTGTTAATTCCGCTCATAAAAACCCCTTTGATAACATACTAAAATTTTTAAAGAACAGGATACCAATAGAATCTGTGGCTAGTCAATCAAGGGAAGCTTTTTGAAATAAATGGGTCTTCAGCAGGTACCAGAAATGACACAGTGTTGGTGCCTGCACAACTTCCAGGGACAGGGAATTCCAGCAGGAGCCACAACATTTGTCCATGCAGAACCCACAGGACTATCCCATCTGATCGCCTCAGTGACTGGGCAGATTGATGAAGCAGAAGGCACTCCCCAGCATAACCTGGTCCCAAGCTGTTTAGGGCTTTAAACCTAGCCTAGTGGCAAATAGGTTGCATGCTGAGAAAGGGCAGCTCCTTACAATAGCAGAGTTGCTGCATTCTGCATTTGCTTCAGCTTCTAGGCCAGCCTTAAGGGCAACCCCACATACAGCACATTACAGTACTCTATTCTTGATGTTGTTAGTGTCTGTACTGCTGTAACCTGTACCACTGTCCAGGAGAGGCCATAGCTAGCATATCAGTTGAACCTGATAAAAGACAACAGCCATCACGAGCTCTGAGCCTCAGCGGCAGTGATTGCTCTAGGAGTACCCTCAGACCTGATCTTTCAAAGATACTGAACCTGTTTACTAGACTTGGGAACCACTCTGCTTTGCTAAGATTGAGCATCAGTTTATTGGCTTTCATCCAGCCCATCAGTGAGTCTAAACACTGATCCAGCTCAGCTACTTCTGGCTCGGTTGTCACAAGGAGACAGCGCTGTATTTCACCAACATAGTGGTAGCACTTGACTACAAATCCTCATATAGTTCTTTCCAGTGGTTTCATAAGGTGTTAGTTAACATTATGATCTCCTTGAAAGAATGTTGTCAACTCTCTGAAGCGCCTGAAACAGATCTGTTGGATGGTTAAGCAGTGACACAATGGAGACACCAAAGTAAGCCTTCCTTTTTGCCCATGCTGCTGTGCAAAAGGCAGAATTTTGTGCTCTAGAGCATGCTTGCTCATCTTCACTTCCAAGCTTATTTGTGTTCTAGCCAGAATCCAAGGTATTTAATTGTCTAGACTTCCCAGGTATACAGGGAGCAAAGCAGACTCTACACTGCTGGAGAAGACACTCAAGTATAATCAAGTTGTTGGTCCCATCACATCTCACTGCTCCACAGTGAGACTAGGATCTTGGCTGGATTGCCAACTCTTTCCAGTGGAAAATACCCAATAGCATTCAAAGCATCAGCAGCACCACTGAATTCTATCAGTCTCCTAAAGCAGGCTATTTAAATAGGGTCCCCTACACCTGGAGGAGGAATGTAATGCTATGAATTCAAAATTCATCTAGGAAATGGCCTAACCATGACAATGAGGTATGACAGTGGGATTAGTTGGACCATCCCCGTTCCCATTTTTCATACTACTCATCTCATAGCTAGTAGCAAAGCCCAAACCAAGAATATGTCCCATTTCAAATGTTGGGCTGATGACACAGCTCCTGCTTGTCATGAGGGCCACAACATCCTGAGCCACATCTCTGAAGCAGAGACAACTTCAGCATGGAAATTAAAGTCATCAAGAACCACCAACTGAGTTCCTCCAGCACCACACTTGAGATGAACTCAGTAATACATGCCAAGTTGGCCTTCATAGCCACAATTACATTGTGAATAAATGTGGATCAACTTGATGATAAATAACTGTACTACAAGACATAAAGGCTCAGTGGATGAGCTACCAGGTATGAGAGGTGACAGAGGGGGTAAAAAGGGAACAATATATAAACATCGGTAAACCATTCTATTCTGATGGCCTGACCTCCTCTTCCTGTGGCATCTCTTTCTGCTTCAAGTCACTGCAGCAGATGTGTCACCTCCATGAATACCTGGATCAAGCATACCTTTGCCATATCAAAACTTCATACACACTCTAAAAACTCACTAACTTCTCAAATGTATCTTCAGGCACTCAGAGGCTATCACAATTTTATCCAGTCAGTCACATGCATGCAACCAGCATAATCACAAACTGTATCAAGGCAAGCCACAGCATTTGTAGAGAACAATAATTTGGAGTGTTGCAAAAACTTCTTCCCCCTGGATCTCATCCAGGGGAAATTCTACTTGGACAGAAGAAGCAGAACTAGTATACGAAGATCTTATCCCATGTCTCTAATTCCAGGTAAAACAGCAGCACCTAAACCCCATGGGGCTTGACACAAATACAGCTCTACCATTGGGTGATGCCTACTCTTACCCAGAATACCTTCCCCACAAAAACAAGTATTAGCCTAACAACCAAAGAAGAAAATAAACATTCAAAAACAGACAAAAATCACCTTTGCATCACCTAAAGAAAAGAAATAATGACTCAGCCTACTTTGTCTTTGCTTCACCTTCAAGATAAGCAGACACCATCCAAAGCACTCACAACCATGTGTGGGGCCAATGAATGGCCAGACTGCAGCTGTATAAAAGATTATAAGTAGGTATGGAGCTGATCAGTAATCTGGAAAGGAAACTGCATAACAGCTGTGCATAGTATATAGAATACAAGGTTCTCCACATTGAGATTGTCGTTCTCGTTTATGGCCTGCTCTTCCTTCAAGCATAGGTCAATAATTTCAGCTTCAAAGGATATTTTTGCCACTGCCAACAAAGGGATAAGGAAAGCTCCACGTGTCAGCTAAATTTACAAGTTGAGGGCATGTTGGAGGAGAGAGATTTCCCTTCCATGTAAGCCTACATCAGTATGTGGGATGTCAGCAAGTAGTGTGATCCAACTCAATTGGGTGAACCAACTCAATTCATACTTTGGAAGACAGTTATCCTTCAAGAGCCTGTACTAATCCAAATGTTGAGATACAGCTGTAGGCTCAAAATGTGCATAGTAGAGAACACCTACACAAAAATGCATATTTTATGAGGAAATGCAAATTTTCCTGCATGCAGGAACAGAATGGGCTGTGGACAAAATGTGCATGAGTCTCTCTGGCCCAAGAATACACTGTTCTGTCCATCCCCAGCCTGAAGGCACACCCTTCCCTTCACAAGGGAGGTGGCTAAACCATTTTCCCTGTGCCTTGCATTATATGCGTGTGCTGAAAAGAAAACTTGTGTCAGACCCAGACAATTTCAGGAGGGCATTTTCCTGAAACCTGCTGGGGCTGGGTTAAATAAGGTCAACTGCATTGTGTTGTTGAGTTTGCTGTTTTATCGGATCAGGATGTACTGCAGCTTCAGAGGTGACTCACCGCAGGACTGGAGTAGTTTTTCATCTTCCGCTATGCTAACAATGACTTAATGCCAACGACTCCAGACTGTGAATTTAAATAACATGGAATGACTTTAGAAACAGTTAATTTTAGAACTGGAAAGCACCTATTAAGTAATGGTGTGGCCATGTCTTTTCCAACAGTGCTGGAATCCACGTTTCCAAAGCATTTTGTTCCCCTCACTGCTTTTGAATGTGCCGAGTTGCAGCATCTATGTCTCCTTTTAACTGAATTTTGTTAAGCCTTAACTGCTGAACAGAGATTTTCCAATACAACATATACTCTTCCTTCTGTTATCTATTAACTATGACACCATCCAAAGTAATGGATGATGTTAAACTATACACAAAAATTTTCATGCTGTTTTTAAGTATCTCTAGTTGTTTAAACAAATCCTCACCCTGTCCTATCATGAAGTCATATACTTGACTGAATCTCTTTTGTTTGTCTCTGTTTTATCCTGCCTTACTGGAAAGTTTTCACAGCTCTCCAGTAAATATTGGTATTGTTTCTATGTCTGTTTTTTTCAAACCACACTCCAACACATGCAAGGTGGGCTTTGTTCTCCTTAAAATGTATCTAAAATTAAACTCTGTCTTCCGCATGCATCCTCACTAGTCTTTTTCTCTGGGATTTCCATTTTGTCCTTGTTTTTATGGAAATCTATAAGACATTGTTCACTTGTTGCTTCCAGTGTTTCCTGAATAACACTTCCCATGTCTAGCCCCATTTCTGATTTGTGGCAATATTTTTACACTAAAATGTAATTGTGATATCAAACTGTTTAGTGCAGACACATAAAGCATCATCGTTATCATTATTAATTTTATGTCTAAACCATGTAATAGCTAAAGTTCTCCAGGTGTTTACAAAAAGTACATACAGAAATACAAACAATACAATAAAATTCTAAAAAGCCTTATGAAAAGAAGCATAACAAATTAAAAACAGCTAAGAACATACAGTGAAGAAAACACCTGGAATGGGTATTAAACTCAGATCCTTGGATAGTCTTTAAAAGTCTTGGCATAGAGGGCTGTCTTAACCTGACACAGAAAAGATAACAAGGTGGGCACTAGGTGAGCCACACTGGAGAGGCTACTCCATAGATGGGGGCCAACACAGAGAAAGCTCTTCCTTTTGTTGCCCACTCCAAGACTTCCTTGGGAGTCGGCACTCAGAGGAAGGCTCTGGATGTTGAGAATAATTTCTGGGTAGATTGGAGTTGGGATGGGCACTCCATCAAGTGTTATGTTCTCAACCTGT